AGGATACAGATATGCTGCTCTGAATGCCTCGTGACTGATTGGCTGATGGGAGAGTTCACTTGATACTACTTCCTGTGAAGAGTCTGTCAGGACTTCACTTAGAGAGATATTGTAACGGAGCGAACGATCCGATTGGAATGAGACTTTGTGTGCTCAAAAATGTAACTATTCCCATGAAGATACAGTAGGCGATATGTGGAGTTTCTCATGTTGGAGTCAGTGAGGTTCTGCTGTGTAAAATTCTTTGGTTACCGTATTCGACATAATAAGCGCCCAGGGCGCTCTCAAAATTAGAAATAAGGGGCTCTTATTAGAATATAATTTTGGTGAGAAAAAAAACAGAGTTGAAAGATTGTAAATTTTGTGGTTTATGCTGACAGCCTGAAATGATATAAAAGAAGAATCTGTGTGTATTATACACGATAGATATATTTTTGAGAATTTAATTGCCCATAATTAAGGGTGCGTATAACACACGAGTGCGTAATTATACACGAAAAAATAAGTCTTGTGTACTGGATCAATTGGAAAGGGTGCTAATTGGGATTGTTCACCAGCTAATATATTAGCAAATATCACCATGGGCGCTTATTAGAGCGGGGCACTTATTACGACAAATACGGTATGTCAGATGAGGCAACAACAAATTGATCATTTTTTTTCAGTAGATTTCCAGAACACAGAGATGCTTTTTTGTCATTTATAAAAGGACAATATTTATTGTTTTTAAAGTGTTAGTTGATCATAAGAATATCAGTGATTTTATTTTAGTGACTTTAGATTCATGGGATGTTTAGTCGAGTGTAGAGATGATTTTAGACAATAATACAGATAACAGTTAAAAATGGTCATCCATGTTTTACAAGCAAGGCACATGTACTAAACAAAAAAAGTCATTTTTCCCTGTGGGGGCACGGAGGGCCCAGTCATCTGAGGTGCCATGATTCGCTGTGCAGAGTTGCTTCTCTTGGGCACAACAGAAACCTACGATTGTGGGTTCGAATCCCGGTTTGCCCCGATTATGTTTCTAGGTTTGTCAGCACCATACCCGTGCTTGTGGGTTTCAACAAAGTGGTAAACATCTGAGATCTGCATCAATTCGGGCTTTCCTCCCACTTTAAGCTGACACACCGCGACATAACTGGAATACTGTTAAAAGCGGTGTTAAACCCAACTCACTCACTCACTCATTTTTCCTGTAGTTAAGAGCACACAGTCTCATGGTCACTAACTTTTTTTGTTTAGTATAGGTATCTGAATGATGAAAGTTGTTCATGATGAATAATGATAAAGACAACCGTTTTAAAAGACGAGATTGAGAAGAAATAATTAATTTTTTGTTGCCACTATTATGCCAAAGATATGGCCCAGGTGACATTGTTTATCAAAGAAATTGTGTTCACTAGCAATGTTGTATTATCTGCGCACGCATTATGATATTTACACCTTAGCTCGGTGCTGTTTCCTCCTACCCGTGATTAGATGTTAGCGATGTTGATTGTATTAAATTGTTATTTTATACCATGTCGTATTCATGTAAAGATTTAGCACAAGAATGCAAGAATATAATGACCAGTGCATGTAAATAGTTGTTGGGTATTTCTACAGCTAATAAAGACGGTTTTAATTACTTTGTGTCAAATTGTGTGTCTTGTCTATTCATGACAGATAGTGACATCAATAGTTTAAGCAGTCTGTTATACTGACAAAACTATTTTATGTCCGCTTTGAACACTGTGTTTTTAATACATTCTCAGAAAATCACTGAACAACAAGCTGGTAGTTTTGGTATGCTGTTGAAGATTTGCAAAAACGCATTTTGTGAAATCTGTTCTTGCATCAGTGACAACCCCAACATATTTGAGAGGATGATTAGTTCTCATCCATGCATCAAGGCTCAAACAGCTATGCAAGTTCTCAGGTCGGTTTCAGCAAATACTCAAGTACTTGCTAAGGGGAAGTAACTCTAAACTTTGGACCCAATGAAGCCTCACATGTATCTTGTCACTCAAATCATTTCAAGGGGATCATTTTATGTTCTATTTCTACAAGGAATATTTGTTGGTGATCAGATTTGTAATTTATATAGAGAATCTCACCCGAGTGGTTTTTGATATCAAATATATCAACACAAGTTGATAAAAGTGGGAAAACGTGGACGTTTGCGGGGGAGTTTTTTCCACTTTCATCAACGAAGGTGAGATTTTATTTATCATCCAAAATAATTCTTCCACCTTTACAATTGTGATGCAATTTCATTGCTGCGATATCTCCTGTGGGGGCCAGTTTTAGATGATAAAATAGTATCTCCTCTTACATAGCAAATAACTTTAAAATTATTATTTTTCAGTCTTTGAAGATGTTAATTTTTTGGTTTAATCAGAGACCATATGGTCTCTGGTTTAATGAATCATTTGCTTTCATTCTTGCAAATTGTTTTTTGGGGGAGGAGAGGGTATTTTTATTTCTTAAAAGAAAAAATCGAAACCAGCTCCTTAGTTTTGACCCAAAAGGTACAGACAAACAACAAAGGTACAATACTATCACAGGTGGGGGGCGGCGTGTGTGTGTGTGTGTGTGTGTGTGTGTGTGTGTGTGTGTGATAAATACATTGAGTTTAATACATTGTGAATTCATCATTCATACTCGAGTAATCAAGTCACATGGGGAGGAAGAAGTTTTCAATTTAAATCTATTAAAACTCTTTAAAAGTCTCGGCGTCTTCTGCATGACCAAGAAAATCAGTAATTTGGGACTTGAAGACCGCCTCCGTGGCTTAGTGGTAGAGGGTTCGCCCGGAGAGCGGAAGGTCCGGGGTTCGATCTCCGGCCGCGCAAAACCAAAAGATGTTAAAAGGTGGTACTTGTTGTTACCCTGCATGGCGCTCGGCATTAAGGGACTAGAACAAGGACTGGTCGGCTCGGAGCCAGTATACTGTGTCTGATTGGGATATTCACGTAAACTGCTGCATGGTAGCTCAGTGTGCTAGCACTAAAAAATCAGCAGTAGTCCGGATTGTACAAGCAGCCACACGCACGCACGCACGCACGCGCGCATGCACGCACGCACACACACACACACACACACACACACACACACACGAGAGATAACTCAGCTTGTAAGGGTATTTCAGTTACGTCACAGTCTGTCCGCTTGATGTGGGAGTAAAGCCCTAAGTGTTGCAGATCTTGCCACTTTCGTGATACCAACGAGCACATGCATTGTGTTGACAAACCAAGAAACATAATCAGGGCATACCTGCAAAACCTGACTCGAACCAAGCGCCATAGGTTTCAGGCATGGACCTATCCTGATAGTGTGTTAGTGCCCATACACAATGTTTTGTTTGTTGTTTAACGCTACTGCGCACTCAGCAGTCTTCCAGTTATATGACGGCGGTGTGTAAATAATCAAGTATGGACCACACAATCCAGGGTTTGACATCATGAGCATCGATCCACGCAATAGGGATATCATGACATGCATCAACCAAGTCAGCGAGCATGACCAACTGATCCCGTGGGTCGCCTCTTACGACAAGCATTGGTCGCTGAAGACCGATTCTATCCCGGATCTTCACAGACACAATGACTTCTTAGATACTATTAACAACTACGTATAGAAATTATTAACATCTAAGCCACATTTAATCATCATTTGCGGAAACAGGTAGTCGATGCATACTGCATAACCCCATTTTTAATTTAACGGTTTGCGAGTTCGACAGTAGACCGGAGCCAAGAAATTCAGTAGTAATCGTTTGTTTGTAAGTAGAAGTAGTTTTTTTAATGTAGAAGTCGTAGTACCGTTTGTAAGTAGAAAGTAGTTTGTTTGTAAATAGAAGTAATTGTAGGTAGAAGTTTGTAAGTAGAATGTAGTTTGTTTGTAAATAGAAGTAATTGTAGGTAGAAGTCGTTTGTAAGTAGAAAGTAGTTTGTTTGTAAATAGAAGTTATTGTAGGTAGAAGTTTGTAAGTAGAACGTAGTTTGTTTGTAAATAGAAGTAATTGTAGTTAGAAGTTTGTAAGAAGAACGTAGTTTGTTTGTAAATAGAAGTAATTGTAGGTGGAAGTAGTTTGTAAGTATAACGTAGTTTGTTTGTAAATAGAAGTAATTGTAGGCAGAAGACTGCTATATCTTTGGTTAGGGCTACAACATAAATATACTCTCCCCTGAAAGACAAACGAGTTTGTGGACCAAGAACATGTTCACAACGTGCAGCCTGGCCCGAAAACAAAGCTTTTGTAAAAGCTGAGGACAAATTATTTTCATCTAGAAGTACGGAACATACCCCCTACCCCCTCTCCTGCACATCGACTATCAGTGATCATCACGTGATTACCACGTCAACATTTTAAAGGAAATATTGATTGGTAAAATTCAATGTATGCAATCTGTGATCCCTGCAAACATTGTTGTACATGTTACTGTAAGCCACAGAAGTCTTTTAGTACGGAAGCTTTTTAGGGCCTTTATATAAAAAAGAATGTATATTTCCCCTCTTGATTGACCGACAAGACTATTTCGTGCCCAGTTCAACAGTATGCCCAATTTTACAAGAAACAAAATCCCTATACAATATATGTGTGGCCTTAATCCCTGTACAATAACTGTGTGGTCTCGATAGATACATGGAATTACATTTTCAAAGGGTCTTCGAACATCAAACTGAAAATGAATGCGCTAAGTTTTATTTTCTAGGTCCAATAAAACACTTAAATGTTGACGTCTTTGATACAAGCACTTCTTTGACGAAAACGGCTTTATAATCCATTCTTTGGGATTCATCAAATTCAGAAACCTAATCCGACCACAGATCGATATGTTTACACGTTGCTATGACAACTGACTTCTCGCTTAAGTGGCACGAGCTGCCATTTACATCAATAGCATTTGTCACAGATATCGAACGCTTTCGGTAACTATGAAAATCACTCCCCCGAGAATACCCAGTTATATCGCTACCTAACCAGTGCGACACCTCAATCCCTTACATTAATATTCTCTCACGGTGAGGTAGACTGCAAGGTGGTATGGGGCGCCATTTTGAAGGCGCTGATATGGCGGCGAGTGGCAAGATGTTACGGAGTATCGGCTGTGTGTTATTTCATTGCCACCTCGTGCTGTCGCAGACGACAACAGGTCTTAACGAGGTATAGTTGTCCTATTCATCTACACGCTGCCCATTTGAGTGACGCATTATCGACCTTACCAGGTGTAGCTAGCGTTAATACCCGACCTTTGATTTTACGTTTTTTGAGGACGGAGATGTTTGACCGACTTTTGTCCATTTTAAGTAATTATTTGCCAAAATATCACCACTCTCCGTATATAATATTTTGCGAATCATATATTCAGTCACTTATGCTGCGTCGTTGGTTAAATTAAAATTAGAAAGACTACCTTTCGGCTGTAGGGGCTTTGCGGAAGCCAAGTGGTTAAAGCGTTCGCTCGTAACTCCGATTTCCCACATGGGTAGAATGTGTGAAACCCATTTCTGGTGATATTGTTTAAACCACACTCGCTCATTTTGACTGAAACTTTTTGCATAATTGTGTTTACTATATACTGTATTGCGATTCAATTATCTTAAGCATGCACATACTATTTGACTATTGTTTAACGCCACACCCAGGAATCATCCAGTCAAATCAGTGATTAATATTGCGAACAACTATCCGCGTCGTCGGAGTACAATGACACGCCATCAACCATGTCAACGAGCCTGATCACCCGATACATTAAGTCCCCTAATGGAAGCAAGGTTTAGGTTATAGGATACTAAATCCAACACCGAATCCCTACGGGGGAAGGCACACATTAAGTCACTTTGTTTTGATTGCTACAGTCTATGTTAATGTTACATTAGAAAGACAACGCTTGGTCTTTGATGTGACTCCTCCATTACGACCTCCCTTGGGTCATACCCAATTAGTCGTGCCCCATTTTGTCATACTATCATTTGTTCTACGAGGGCGGGTCAAAATCTTCTAAGCCTAACAAACAAAACCAACAATTGTGAAAGTGTTTTTAATTTTATTTTGCAACATAATCTCCCTGCTTTTCAATACACTTCTTATGTTGGTAGTGAAGCTATGTTTCTGAAGCAACCATGACAGCCTATTCAAGGCAGCTTTGAGGTCGTCGTTGTCGTCACAGCGCTTTCCACGAAGGGGTGTTCTTTCAGTTTAGGAAACAGGTGGAAATCACATCGTGCCAGGTCTGGCGAGTATGGAGGGTCAGGAAGCCCTTCGAACTCACATTGTCGCTCAGCAGCCTTTGCAAGTCGTGAGGTGTGAAAAGAGGCATTGTCATGAAGTTGTAGAAATCCATCAGTCAGCATTCCTCGCCGCTTTTCTAGGATAGAATCTCTCAGGCGATGAAGCAAATCAGTATAGTAGGCACCGGTTATCGTATTTGGATTATCTGGATTTATACCCTTTTCATCCCAGAATACAGTGGACATAACTTTCTTCACTGATTTTGAAGACTTGAATTTCTTTGGTGCCGGAGAGGTGAAATGGTGCCATTTCATGGATTGACGTTTTGACTCTGGATCTTAGTGGTAGACCTATGTTTCATCACCTGTTACTAATCTTTTTTTGAATTTGACGAAATCCTCCAACATTAGCTCTAAATTTTCTCTGGCAATGTCAGTTCTTTTTTCTTAACATAAAAAGTTAGAAACTTTGGCGCCCAACAAGAAGATGTCTTATTCATCTGTAAATGTTCATGAATAATAGTTTCAATGGATCCATGGCTTAGACCTGTGTCTTCCTCAAAATCAGCAATAGCAATACATCTATCGGTCATTAGAAGTTTTTCGGACTCCTTGATTAAATCTTCATTGATGGAAGTTGAGGGACGTCCAGACCTTGGGTCACCATCAAGGCTTGTTCTCCCAGCCTTAAACAGAGCTGCCCAACGTTTAACAGTTGAATAGCTAGGGCACTTATCCCCATACATTTGTGACATGTTGTCATGGATTTCTTCGGGAGTACTTTTCTCTAAAGTAAGAAACTCGATGACTGCTCGGTACCCGTTCTTTTCCATTTCTGTCTCCATTTGGACTCCAATCACAAACGGCCTATAGGCACGACCTCAACAGACCAAATGCACTTGCAATGAACTTCTCAAACAAGAGGCTGTATTGGTTCGTTCACTTTGTTATGGCCCAAAGTTAGTCAGGCTTAGAACTTCGTAAACACGGTCACCATTACGCAAGACTAAACTACGTGTAGCCAGGGAATCACAAGTCACGTGTGCAGGCGTGGAACTACATGTGATAGGCGTTCAACTTTTCGAAGACTGACACAAAAAGTAGCAATTCAATGTTAATATTATCAATTAATAATTATATCACAAAGACGTATTTTTAAACAGTTCAACTTGTTAGTTATTTTAAAGTATATATATCATTGTGTTTTTTAAAATTTTATAGATAATTTTGTTAAATATTTATGTATGTGTATGTGCGTGTGCGAGCATGTGTGCAAGCGTTTGTGTATGTATGTATGTGCGCGCGCGCGCGCGTGTGTGTGTTTGTGTGTGAATGGTGTCCACATGTGATTTTCAAAAGATGTGGTTCGCACTGGATGGACATGTAACTGAAATATCTTCCTTGATCACGAAGTACACCATGGGATATAATATCATATTACCTATAATGGCAAGGATATCAACATCGAAAGTTATTATTTTCTGTATTTCTCGCCGAGTATGATTATTTTGCTTCTTTCTGATTGGCTAATTCACCAATAGTTCCACGGTTTTTAATGTTTGTGAGGAGGCCCTTAGTAGTGTGGCGTCACAACCACGCATTTTCGCAAATAACATGACGTCATCCATTGTTCATGACGTCATTTCAACAGTGGATTGACTGAGTTGATCAATCGACAAACCACACCCCAAAGGCAATTTTCAAAGACAATGGCCGATCCTCTTCAGAGTGTGAACCGATATATCCACTAGTGATCACAATGCCCACAGTTGCTACATTTTCTCAAAAAGACAGACTATGGGTAATACAAAAATAGCTAATCGCAACTCGTAATTACGGATTATATGTCCATCATGAAATAATGTTGACAGTCTTAATTACAAAATGAATTCACCCGAGACAGTTAATCCGCAAGTCCTCATAAAGCCAGCAGGTAAGTCTGGAAGTACACACTCCGAGCTATATATAAGATGCAAATAGTTTTTTGTAGTGTCGCGTGTCAGAATGACATAGTAGTGCGGACGGGTGAGGCTATGGCGTTACACGTGATCCACCTGTCTCGCGCTGCAGCACGTGCAGGTCAAACACGTGACTCAAAACTTAACGGCCATGTTAAAGCTGGCACAAGGTGGATATTAATACTAGATTTTTGAGGTCCTAACTCCCGGGTATCTTTTGGTGACGCTGCAAGAGGTGCCTTATGTCACCTTCCCACCAAGGCCCCTGTTTATGGAACTCTGCATTTAATCCGTAGACAGAACCGATTGCAATCACGTGTCATTGTTCACGTGCCTGACAGGGTGTTTGAAGTCCATGTTATCGATAGTTGCAGGGGATGTAGCATGGATAATATCCAGTCATGCAAACGTTTGGTTACGCGTGCCCAGCAATGATGGCCTCATTTATAATTTATCATTATCGTGATTTTAATTTCATATATAGGGAGTGAAGCGGGATTAAAATGCCCAGTTCACAGACGTTGTGAGACAGCGGGACAAGAAACTGTAGCATTTAAGTTATCTCATGACAAGATAAAAATTACCATACTCAAATGCTATCCATCCACATACGTATTTAGACCAGGTACATCGTTAACCCGTTCCTCTGATTATGTTTCAAGGTTTGTCAGCACCTTCTCTGTGTCACTCCCCTCTCTGTGTGTCTCTCTCCTCTCTCTGTCGCTTCCATCTCTGTGTGTCTCTCCCCTCTGTCTGTCTCTCCCTTTCTGTGTCTCTCCCCTCTGTTTCTTCACTCTCCGTGTCTCCCCTCCTCTCTGTGTGTCACTCCCTCTCCTCTCTCTGTATGTCTGTCCTCTCTGTGTGTCCCTCCTCACTCTGTCTCCCCCTCTCTGTGTCTCTCCCCTCACTGTGTCTTCCCCTCTCTCTATGTCTTTCCTCTGTCTCTCCCCCTCTATGTGTTCCCCTCTCTCTGCGTCTCTCCTCTCTATGTGTCTCCTCTGTGTCCCCTCCTCTCTGTGTATCTAACCTCTCCTTGTCTCTCAACTCTCTATGTGTCTCTCCCCTTCTCTGTGTCTCTCCTCTGTGTCCCTCCTCTCTGTGTATCTAACCTCTCCTTGTCTCTCAACTCTGTGTCTCTCCCCTTATCTGTGTCTCCCCTTCCCTGTCTCCACCTCTGCGTGTCTCTCACCGTCTCTGTGTGTCTCTTCCCCTCTCTGTGTGTCTCTCTCCTCTCTCTGTCTCTCCCCTCTCTGTGTCTCTCCACTCTTCATGTGTCTCTCTCCTCTCTTTGTGTCTCTCCCCTCTCTGAGTGTCTCATCTCTCTCTGTCTTTCTCCCTCCCTCTCTGTATGTCTCTCCCCTCTCTGTGTCTCTCCACTCTTCATGTGTCTCTCTCCTCTCTTTGTGTCTCTCCCCTCTCTGAGTGTCTCATCTCTCTCTGTCTTTCTCCCTCCCTCTCTGTATGTCTCTCCCCTCTCTGTGTCTCTCCACTCTTCATGTGTCTCTCTCCTCTCTTTGTGTCTCTCCCCTCTCTGAGTGTCTCATCTCTCTCTGTCTTTCTCCCTCCCTCTCTGTATGTCTCTCCCCTCTCTGTGTCTCTCTCTCCCCTGTGTGTCTCTCCTCTGTGTCGCTCCCCACTCTGTGTCTCTCTCCTCTGTCTTTCCCCTCTCTGTGTGTCTCTCCCCTCTCTGTGTTTCTCCTCCTCTGTCTGTCTCTCCACTGTGTGTCTCTCCTCTGTGTCTGTCTCGCCCCTCTGTGTCTATCCCTCTCTCTGTCTTTCCCCTTTCTGTGTCTCTCCACTCTCCGTGTCTCTCCCATCTGTCACTATCCTCCTCTCTGTGTGTCTCTCCTCCTCTCTCTGTGTCTCTGCCTACATCCCCCCCCCCCCCCCCCCCCCCTCTCCCCCTTCTCTCTTGTTCTCTCAACATACATGTACATGGGGTATTCTGTGTGTCATATTGTGATGCATTCATGAAACCCAGTGAATCACACCAGTGTTGATCTGTTTTGAGGACACTGGTTTTGAAGTCTCACAGGAAATTATATTTGAAACACCTCCCTCGTGTCCACTTAGAATATATCCATTTCCTTAGTATAGGTACTTTAATGCACGGAGTAGAGTGTCTCGCCTCTACCTAGCCACGCAGAGACGACAATAACATAAAATCTGTTCCCCGTTGACTCGTGTTTACTCCTACCACGCTTGCTATTCATGTCTTGGATACACATGTACTCACAAACAACCCACATAATAACCGCCAGGTGTCAGCAGACTGGAGCAGCATGGGGCGCGGATGCGGTGGGGGCTGACTTGATTGATGCATGTCATCGTATCCCAGTTGCGTAGATCTATGCTCATGATGTCAATCACTTGATTGCCTGGTCCAGATCGCCGCCACACAGCTGTTAAAATTTCTCAGTGCGGCGTTAACAAAAAATCAAAATTAAAAAAAAAAAAATCTCCACTGTCCTTGAACCCCGATGACGGACGCAAACACGAAGTGTACTAAGGTTCTGAGTCATATTGGCTCCCGGGACTCCTACTCGTAACTGTGGGGAGAGAATTAAAATCTACCTGCAAAGCCCACGAAGGACGTTAATACGTGCACGTACCAAAACGTGTCCTCGTGCGCGTGTACTTAAAGCTAATCGGAGAGTACAAACTTAGTGAAGGGACATAAAATCAACCACACCACGCGACAACATGTTCACGCCGCTCTCAGCAATATTCCAGCTGTAATATGTCAGGCTGTATATAATCGAGATCTAGATTACGACACGACCCATATATATAAGGGAAACAACTATGTATGTTTGAAATATGTATTTCAATGGAGCCAAACACATTTCCTGACCCATAACTCATTATTTTTCAGGGCAGCCAGCGTTTCCACGATACGATAAAATGTTAAAATCTGAGAACTGAATTATTCTTTTCAAGGATTTTCGGGTACCCGTTATCGTATAGAAGACCCCCTCCCTTCTTAATGACAGAAATGGAGTGCTGCACATTATTTTTATGGCTTTCATTTGTCAGTGGTCGATTTGTCAGGCTCAGTGAGTGAGTGAGTGAGTTGGGTTTAACGCCGCTTTTAACAGTATTCCAGTTATATCACGGCGTGTCAGCTTAATGTGGGAGGAAAGCCCGAAGTGATGCAGGTCACAGACGTTTACCACTTCGGTGAAACCCACGAGCACGGGTATGGTGCTGACAAACCTAGAAACATAATCGGGGCGAACCGGGATTCGAACCCACAATCATAGGTTTCTGGCGTGCCCAAGGGACGCAACTCTGCACAGCGAATCGCGGCGCCTTAGACGACTGGGCCACCCGTGCCCACCGTCAGGCTCAGTGACTCGGTTGCCATCGTGTCATCGTATCCCGACTGCGTGGATCATTGCTCAAACTATATGTTCACACTCGATAATTTACAGGCCACCATCATACAGCTGGAATGTTGCTGCGTGGAACTACAAACTGTCAAATTAACAAAATACTTGAGTAATTATGTTTGCTTCTGTTGCAGGTGAACAAGGCCCAAATAAACAGCGACAACGGCATTTCCATAGAAACCAAGGTGTTAGGCCCTCTTCGGGTGTGGCATCTCGTGTTCGCGATAGCGTCATTCCTGTTGACGATCAGTGAGTACAGGACTCGTCTTTCTAAACACCTGCATGGTCTAGTAAATAGAGCGTCGGTGGCTTGATCCCCGGCCGCGTCATACCAAATGACGTGAAAAGGTGATAATTGTTGTAACCCTGCGTGGCGTTTGGCATTAAGCTTTTAAAACAAGAACGGTCGGCCCGGAGTCAGTGTACTGTGTCTGGGTGTTGAACTGCAGAATGGTTTCTCAGTGAGCTTGCACTAGAAAACCGTACTAGTATACAAGCAGCCACACACGCACGCACGCACGCACGCACGTACGCACACACGTGAATAATTGAAATATTCTTTTTCACCTCACCGTCTATCTAATGATGAGGGGGCGGTGGGGTAGCCTAGTGGTTAAAGGATTCGCTCTTCACGTTGAAGGCCCGGGTTCGATTCCCGACATGGGTACAACGTGTGAAGCCCATATCTGGTGTCCTCCGCCGTGATATTGCTGGAATATTGCTAAAAGCGGCGTAAAACCATACTCACTCACTCACTCTAATGATGAAAACGTTAGTGCTTTCGTTCGATGTAAGAACCTTGGACCACCCTGGTGAACCGCGCCGACGGTGGACCCCAAGTTAACTTTGATTGACCATTGTCAGCACGTGTTAACTGAATTACGTCATACATCGGTTGCCCTTACCTATTGCTTCTGGGGGTGCGACACTCTGGTTATAGTAGCACCCTCCAAGTGACGTCAACATTATAGCTGATTGATAAAATCATAAATAAAATCGTTTTAAGGAATATTATTAACTAGGCATTGATCGTATTTATGTATTCTGCCAGGTGTATTCTGTGGGTCAGGGAAATTTCACTTTCGATTTTTGATATAATGGGTTTCCAAGAGAATTGTTGTTGGTTTGTTGTTTAACGCCGCACTCAGCAATATTTCAGCTATATGATGGCGGTCTGTAAATAATCGAGTCTGGACAAGACAATCCAGTGATTGATATCATGAGCATTGATCCACGCAATCGGGATCGATGGCATGCTTCAAGCAAGTCAGCGAGCCTGACCACCCGATCCCGTTAGTCGCCTTTTACGACAATCATAGTCGCCTTTTACGGCAAGCAAGCATGGAAGATAAACCGTTTTTTACAGTATTTTTTCGGTCACGGCTCCAAGATATATATTCTTCGTCTCAAAGAAAGAACCAAACAATTATCAGTTTCTGGACAGTGAAATAGAAATTGGTGATAATATCAGTAAAATATTTCACACAATTCGATTAACTCTCCTTGTCCAAGTAGAACTTTCGGTGAGTAGTAACCTATCCGGGATAAACAGTTTTGTTGAGGAAAGCTTTTAGCATAAGGTCCATTTTGATATCTTCGAACATTAACAGCTAGCCTATAAGCCTACTGCAACTACACTTGGTACATGTATAGGTCGGGTGAAGTAGTTTCACTGGCGCGAGAGACCCAGTCGTATAAGACGCCGAAATTCGCCCTTCAGAGTTGTCTCCCTTAGGAATGTCAGAAACCTATGATTGTGGGTTTGAATCCCAGCTTCACCCATGAGTTGGGTTTTACGCCGCTTTTAGCAATATTCCAGCAATATCACTGAGGGGGGACACCAGACATTGGCTTCACACATTGTACCCATGTGGGGAATAGAACCAGGGTCCTCGGCGTGACGAGCGAACGCTTTAACCACTAGGCTACCCCACCGCCCGACATACTGTTGAAAGCGGCGTTAGGACTCACCCTCTCTTGCTGGATGCTGCTTGTTTCGGACACCTTACATGTCAGTCTGTGTCAGCTCCCATGTGTGGCTTGAGTAGATCCCGAATCGTCTTTGAGTATATACATGCATGGAGGCTGAATAGTCAGTTGAGGTGAGGTGAAATGGGGTTTAACGTCGCGTCCAAAATTATTGCACTTATATAACGACGTGCATGTACGTGTGTGTGTTTGTGTGGTTGCTTGTACTAGTCCGGACGGATGCCGATTTTATAGTGCTAACCCACTGAGATACCATGCCGCAGTTAACATGAATTTCCCACTCAGACACAGTATACTGATTCCGAGCCGATCAGTCCTTGTTTTAGCCCCTTAATGCCGAGCGCCAGACAAGGTAACAACAAGTGCCATCTATAAACGTCTTTTGGTATGACGCGTACCTTCCGCTCTCCGGGCGGACGCTCTACCACTAGACCACAGAGGCGGTCAGACTGTATATCAGGCTTGTCATGGAAGATTAAAGCTGAACTTGTTTCATCAGAAATTCTATATTTCTAGCATACATCAAGGATTTTGAGTATAATCACACCACAACACAGAATACAGATTTAGCTACCAGTTTGTTTATGCCATGCGTCTGCACTGTGTGATATTTTGATATTTCAGCCACAATCGTCTGCTGCTGTTGCGACTTCCGGATTCCCAGAACGAGGCAGGAAATTGAAGAAAGCTACAAGAAGAGAGTTGATAACTCCAACTACATCAAATACCTGGATCAGCTCCCACAGAATGTACTCAAGAACAGACCTAAAGGTAAACAGACGTTTGTAAAGTCATTCTGAAGAAAGACGTTGAGGTTGTGTTTACAGCAGGGACCGGCCATTATGCATTCTGGTGATGGAGGGGGCTAAGAATTTTAGAAAAAAAATTCTTTCAGAAGGAGGAATATTTTCATTTGCCCACCGAACAATATTTTTCAGACAAATGTCATGTCCCGTGATTTAATTTTGGGAAACACCTGATGCTATTTTCAAAACAATCCCACCCAACCCAGAATATGAAATGGTCGGCCCCTAAGTGATATAGAGACCACAGGACTGTCAGGCTGATTGATAGCAGATACAGCTACACGCTTCATTCGGAGAAAAGGCTTTCTTTTTAAGTCTTGAAAAAACAGGAAGTGAACATTCATTACAGCACTAATCAAATGACTCACAAAACCACCCCTCTTTTCCAAAGATGTGTCCACGTTTGCTTCCTTCCTCAGAACATTCCAACACGTGGAGTGTTTCATTGAGTTAAATTGCATTGGCAGGCCCTTGGTCTCTCTTATTTTGTCTGTAATCTGGATGTTGTAGTCTGTTGTCTGTTTCAGTTTTAGAGGCAGATTTTTATGTACATTAATTCCAAGTCTTTGAAAGGCATTTAGAAGTGGGGGTAGAAAAGGTCTTCAGCAACCCATGCTTGCCGTAAAAGGCGACTATGCTTGTCGTAAAAGGCGAATAACGGGCTCGGGTGGTCAGGCTCGCTGACTTGGTTGATGCATGTCATTGGTCCCAATTACGTGGATCGATGCGCATGATGTAAATCACTGGATCGCCTGGTCCAGACTCGATTATTTACAGGCCGCCGTCATATAGCTTGAATATTGCTGAGTGCGGCGTTAAACAACAAACCAACCAACCAACCATTTAGAAGTGATACAAACAAGGAAGAGAATTTATGGATTTTTTTTATTATGAGGAACACAATGTTACGGAGTACATACGGAGTTCCTCAGTTGTGTTCCTCATAAAGAAGTTGACATCCATAAATTCTCTCCCTTACAATAATTCTGTCTAATAGGCTTGTCAGCGTTGGACTGGGTGCTCTTTGTATTCAGTATTCATACTCTATTAACTATAATGGAGAAATACCATAATGGATAAAGATGTTTGAAGTAAACGCTATGTCCCCTTTACGCCTATTTACATAAATCTAAAGCTACTTGACCATTGAACAGCACCCAAATGCTTTAGGTCTAAAGTGACAAGTGACCTACATACGCCACTATTGACGAATACTAAACCAATTTCATTACTGGCGACCCGTGAAGGTCCGGGGTAGAATAGGTCTTCAGTAACCCATGCTTGTCGTGAAAGGCGACTATGCTTGTTGAAAGAGGCAAGTAATCGGGTGGTCAGGCTCGCTTACCTGTTTTATGTATGTCATCGCATCCCATGGGTCGATGTTCATGATATCGATCACTGGATTGTCTAGTACAGACTCGATTATTTACAGAGTGCCGTCATTTAGCTTGAATATTGCTGAGTGTGGCGTTAAACAACAAACAAACAAACAAAAAGCATTGCTAGGCCTGTTGACGTGGGAGGAAAGCCTCAGGTGGCGGGTGTCCCCCGTCGTGATATTGCTGGAATATTGCTAAAAGCGGCGTAACACCATACTCACTCACTCACTCACTCTTGTTCTGCGCACGCCTAGTCTGGAATGTTGCAGCCTGTGTCTTCTAGTGCTGCCGTTTCCATGTTTTCGGCAGCGTGCTCTCAGATTTATGATGGTGTTTCTCAGTTGCATCGATTCCTTGTGTATTGTAGACATATGACATTTTTTTTGTGGCAGTATGTCAGTTTTCATTGGAAGGCCTGATCAAGTAGACACGGGGTGATATAGCTGAAGTAGTGTTCATAGAGGAGTTATACCATCCAAACACTATCTTCCTCTGACAGCCTTAGGTGGATAGTGTATAGATAGTGGATAGTCTGCCCGGAGAGCCGAATGACGAGGTATCTCAGTGGGCTAGCACTATAAAAACCGCTCGCAGAGAGACATACACAATTCACTTCGCACGTTAAACCCCATTTTACCTCACCTAACTTTCTCTTAAGATTCCCATGAGTTCCCAGTAAGATTAATATCTTCTCAATGGAGTGAGTGAGTGAGTGAGTTAAATTTTACGTCGCATCGGCAATATTTCAGCTATATAGCGATGGAACCTAGGTATGAGATTTAAGATATCTGTCGAGAAAGGACAGTAGAATAGTAAGGTATATTACAGTTTTTAAAAAAATAAAACAAACCAGATCAAAAATTTAAAAAATCATATAGTTATACATAGATTAAGTCTTTTCAATTCAAACAAGGCCATAAACCACCAATAACCAAAGTTAGACCACGTTACTGGAGATCATGGGGACTTACAGTACCTATGCTTCCTGCATGATTCCCCAGCAGGGTTTATGCCATCACTTTGGCTGAGTGGAAGGATGGTGGGTCTTGCTGAGGTATATATCTGAAGGGGATGTCCACCAACATGTTCCACATCAACACCACCAACATGTTATGTCTGTTGCAGATCGGGGCAATAGAAATAATTCAGAAGACGAAACAACCCCCGAAAGGCCGAAGAGGACATCGCGAGTCGCAGATTCCTCCCAGAACGTTGGTATCAAGACAAAACTTACTAAGGGGGGACACCTCGCCGTGGCTACACCTCTTGCAGTTCACCCCGGAAGTGTCATGGAAGCCATGTCGAAAATGAGAAGGAACGGTGAGTTATAAAAACTCTCGGTGACCCCGCGTACTGGCGTCAGGTTGATGATATTTGTAGTTTCTAGTTTGTAGTCAGCACGTTACGAGATCAGAATTAATGGTAGCCATCGACAACTCATTCCAAGAGCTGCTTAATCTCTACACGTGGTTTACATTATCGTGCTAATTTTAGAAAGACTCGGTTCTTCTAATAATCATAACATGTTCCGACACTGGTAACATGTGCAGAAAGGGAGCTCCACTGTGTCACGTGTTACTGTAGGTCTTCCGTCCGTTGGGTATCGCTCGATGAAGTCCTTTAATTAGGGGACACCATAATTAGATCTCTGACATAGTCTCGCTGGTTCATAGGGTGTGCAGTAACCGAAGGGCTGCAAACCTCATATTCTGCTATCAGATCATCAGAGAGTCAATGTTCATCGTATGTGTTAAGTATTGATCAGAAGCCATATTGTGTGATCTACGTTTCCCACTTAAAAGACTATTCTCAATGATCTGACGCCCATGTCTGCTTAGATCTAGCATTGACATGTGTGAGACTAAGGCATTGTCTTTTTGGTGCCACATGGTCACAAATCAGGTGGATTTAAACATTGGTCGCGGAGTGTAGTTGCATGGGTCAGCCTGAGTTTATAGAGCTTCGGCCATGTGGTGTATCCTTTTTTTTCATAACTTTGTTCTAAATATGCCTCTGTTCAACCAGCAGTGAATGGGAGTGTTAACTTTCTAGCGTCTCACGGGCAGCTTGGGTTCCATACTCCCCAGGGAGCTGAGAATGCACATTGAGTGCACACCGGTCCATTGACCGGGGTAATAATAATGAAGCGTCTTTGTGTATGTAATCTGGCGCAATATAAACAGACTTCTTCTGCTAAATTGATGTACGACATAAATTGACATCAGCCTACGTTATGTTTGAGAGACTTGAATCAATCTTGCTGGGCCTGCCAATTAGCCGAGTTTAGTCCCCCTTTAAGGGGTTAGTGTAATCCTCACAGAACAGATCCAGGATTTCGGAAAAAAAACATGTCTGCTAAGTAAACAAAAAACACATGCCATTTTAGGGTTTGGATACGTCAGTACCACGAAGTTAGATGTCTAATTCCAGAATTTCAGTTGAGCTGAATGAAGTGGTTGAATGGAATACATTGAAATTGTTTGAGCAAGGTATAAACGCGTCTCATGAAATTTATAGCTACCATACAGTCGCCTCTCCATGTTGGTTCCAGCAAAGACGTATATATTTATATACTTTTTGGGTCGCGGTTCCGAACCTAGATCACCATCCTGTTATCTGTTATCTGTTATCACCTTGCCGCGCTTGTTGATTACACCAAAGTGATAAACATCGCATTACTTTGAGTTTTCAGTCAAGTGTAATCAGATCCATCGTGACCAGTGAAGATCCGGAGTAGAATTGGTCTTCAGCAATCCATGTTTGCCGCAAACGGCAACTGTGCTTGTAAGAGGCGACTAACGGGATCGGGTGGTCAGGTTCGCTGACTTTATTGATGCATATCACCGTATCCCAATTGCGTGGATCGGTGCTCATGACGTCAATCACTGGATTGTCTGGTCCAGACTCGATTATTTACAGACCGCTTTCATATAGCTTGAATACTGCTGAGCGCGGCGTAAAGTAACAAACAAGCAAACAAACAAATCAATCGTGGAAAAACTGAGATACTATTCAAAGCACCATTAAACCCGACTTCCATACAATATTTTAAAGCCCAAGTAGTTATTTCAGCATTCCAGAACCCGGCCCAAAATACATGATGAGTTTGGATTATCTGATATAAATTTATTTGCATATATTCACAAAATGTACTATACATATCCTTTACTCCTATTGAGGCAAAAGACACATTACGATTAACCCTTTTGAAATATGTAAACGTGATATTTTAATAATTACGATATTTGACAAGGTAAACGTCACACCAGAAAGACAAATCTACACGTATGCACTCATGAGACCCGATAAAAACTAAAATTACACGAAATCGCAGAAATTCACAAGAAACGTCTCAGCCCTTCAAGGTTAGTTTATCTGATTGAAATTCATTGATTGGCATTTTCGGGAAACATTGAACGCCTTTCGTATTTCCACTATCAGTCCTTTATTAAATATTTGCATTCTTCATCTATGATGCTACAGTGTCCAAATATTCTCTTCGACCTCTAAAACAGTGCTTCCGACATATCTTCCTGGCCGTCACATCGTGTCACATCAGCCCGCCAATGAAGACCCGTCTCCCACGACCTCACCGGCGCGTGGGTGGGTGACATTGTCCCGATCACGTGAAAATAAATCTTGAGCTTCATTTAATCTTCCACTTAATCGGATCCTAATTACTAAGCCGAAGGGTTGATTGATCCGGTGGGACTAGCCACGTTTGGTCGTCAGCTCATCCTGTCTCTCAACACACAATCTGCAAGTGCTGCTAATCATAGCCCGAAACTGCAGGCCTGCATCACTACTGTCGGCGCTCCTGTACATGCAGACCCTCGTTAATCCGGAGTGAGTGAGTGAGTGAGTATGGTTTTACGCCGCTTTTAGCAATATTCCAGCAATGTCACTGTTGGGGATACCGGAAAATGGGCTTCACACATTGTATCCATTTAGGGTATCGAATCCGGGTCTTCGGCATGACGAACCAACGCTTTAACCACTTGGCTACCCCACCACCCCCGTTAATCCGGACCTTATTTTTCTATTTTGAAATGAATCATTTGGGTGATTATATTATCATTCCTTTCATTGCTGTAGATATAGAGCGGGGTTTTGTGAGTGAGGTGATTTCGTCCCTTGGTAGAACCAGAAGCCAAAGATCGTGGTTCGAATCCCAGATGGGCCATAACTGTTGTCATGGGATTTACCATAGTGTTTAGCGTCGAGTGTGGTTTGTGGTTTCCTCCCAAAACAGGCTGGAACTAAACTCACTCACCCACCCACCCACTCACTCACTCACTCACTCAGATCGGCTGTCCAAGCTGGTTTGATTTTCCCAAATACCACTTTGTCTTGTAAATTAAGGCACAGCCAACGTATTTCAGACTGCCATCACATATTGCTGAGACAACAACCAAACGTCATGCTGGATGGCCAGTTCAAAAGAAGCGCAGTTCGCTAACCACTCTAAATGGTGATCCCAATAGGAGCGCAACATACGTAGCTCGTTGTCTTTGTCAAAGCGGTAACCGTCTGAGACCTGCATCCTTTCGGGCGTTCCACCAGCATCAAGCTGACACGCCGTGATAAAATTGAACTACTGTTTAAGCGGCATCGAAACAGCTCACCTACAAACTCACATAATACAGAACGGCCTTTCCCTGTTGTGTCTCTCTAAGCAGTGTTGGTTCATGGAACTAGGCGTCACACTTCGCTGTACAGAGTTACGTCCCTTAACCGTGCCAGAAGCCTGCGCTGGTTGGTTTGAATCCTGGTTCCCCGATCACGTTACTAGGTTTTTCACCAAAGTGGGAAAGGTTTACCGCCTGCACCACTTCGGGCTTTCCTCCCACATCAAGCTGACACGCCCCAGTCGTCTTAGGCGCCACGATTCGCTGTGCAGAGTTGCGTCCCTTGGGCACGCCAGAAAACTATGATTGTGGGTTAGAATCCCGGTTCGCCCCGATTATGTTTCTAGGTTTGTCAGCACCATACCCGTGCTCGTGGGTTTCACCGAAGTGGTAAACGTCTGAGACCTGTATCACTTCGGGCTTTCCTCCCACATTAAGCTGACTCGCCGCGATATAAATGGAATACTGTTAAAAGCGGCGTTAAACCCAACTCATTCACTCACTCACTCACTCGCCTTGGCAGGAATATTGTTGAAAACCGCTGTCAAACTCAACACACTCTCTTAAGGGAAAAAGTAAAGGCAAGAACAACCAAAAACAAACGATCGCGATCTATCATTTTGACGACTTTTGACGATAAATGTTTGACAATGTTGTGTTAGTACAACCGAAATCAATGCTGCAGAGTTTGTACCCTGTGAATTCTCTGAGTCATAACGCCCCCGACAACAATCTCCTTTGTCCCTGACAAACCATTTAGCACTGTTTCATCCTTTGAACCTTTTTACGGACAATTATAAAGGAATGGCATCAAAGAAACTCAAATCGAATCTCATTCTAAATTAGATTTTCGAGTGTAACGATCGATTTGTGAAGCCAGTGCACAAAACATTGCAGCTAGCACTGTCGTGCTTCCCATTGATGTAGACGAACTGACAGTAGCTTTAACACTAAGATCATTTGTTAATACGGACCCCTAGGACCCACTCAGCGTCTCTAGTGTCAAAACTCCCACTGTCAAATGCTGGAAACCCGTGAGTAACATGTGACCCAAATACATAACAAATTGACTTTGTGCACACGTTCCACAAAGCGATTTTGTCGCTACGACTGTCGTAAGGCGAGGTGAGGTGAAATGGGGTTTAACGTCGCGTCCAAGATTATTGCACTTATATAGCGACGTGCATGCACGTGTGTGTGTGTGGCTGATTGTACTAGTCCGGACTGATGCCGATTTATAGTGCTAGCTCACTGAGATACCATGCCGCTGTTTAATATGAATACCCTACTCAGACACAGTATACTGACTCAGAGCCGACCAGTCCTTGTTTTAGCCTTAATGCCGAGCGCCAGACAGGGAAACAACAAGTACCATCTTTTAACGTCTTTTGGTATGACGCGGTCGGGGATCGAACCCCGGACCTTCCGCTCTCCGGGCGGACGCTCTACCACTAGACCACGGAGGCGGTCTTGACTGTCGTAAACCTATGGTTTGGGAGTTAAGCGCTGAGAAAGCTTTGTCGAACGGGGCCCGGTCAACAACTTTTGTTTTGTTTGTTCGTTGTTTGACCCGCACTCAGCAATAGTCCAGCTATATGACGGCGGTCTGTAAATAATCGAGTCTGGACCAGACATCATGAGGATCGATCCAAGTCAGCGAGCGTGACCACCCGATCCCGTTAGTCGCCTCTT